TTGAGAAGTACAAATTATGTCTTGTTTCGGAAGGCATGAGCCAAACTTCTCTCTCATCCCTAGTCCTAACTTGTTTCCTAGAATAAATCAAAAGGAACTCACTTCTCAGAACTGGAGAGAACAGTTTGCAGTCGCAAGTTGCCATCCATTCATATCCACCGGTGAATTTCTACGAATGACAGCATAAATTCACCGTTCTTTCCTCTTCTTCCACTGACACAACCAAGTAGCTCCTAATTCATAGTGTGTATATTTTTCTTCCTTTATGATATCTTTGAGGGGGCCCCCAGGCCCTCCCTTTGTTCCCGTTTCTATACAAAGTGATCCAGTTGTCATGGAAATGAAACTGCCAATCACTTTGGTAGAGACAGATGATGGCCATGGAAGCAAAAGATGTCTGGATGTAATTTGCCTCGTGTTGATCATCCTGGCTGAATAAAAAACACAATCCAAAACTGTAGTTCGTGTAATTAAGGTTGTTAATTATCTCGTGTTGCAATTACGTTCGAGAGCCCTGGCCAAGAACAGAGCCCACACTGTGTTAATACTTCACAGACACAAATTCAGAGGCTGTCCTCTAGCTCTCCTTGAAGGGCTTTGTTATGTACTGAAGTTCTCACCCTGGGCCAGCAGGGGGATACTGTAGATAGTTTTCACTCAGGTCCACATCAGTTATTTTAGGCGGGAAACCCTGGGTTGTTGTTGCTACAATGTTGACAGCCGGCTGCCTATAAAAGCAGGCCGGCTGAGCTGTTTGCTGTTCAGTTCGGTTCCAGCTTACAAAATAAAGAGCTGCTTTGGAGAAATCGCTATGTCGTCTGCCATGTCTACCCACTATTCAACAGGCTTCCCATCAACAGCTGAGATATAAGGAGAGGCTCTGGGGAGACAGGAAGGAGAAACCCTGAGGAGTATTATGGCCTGTGGGACAGATAGGCGAAGAACAATTGTGGCAACCACCATCTCCTCTAGTTTCACCTTGAGGGTGAGCTGAAAGCAAGGATGGGCAAATCTGTCCATTTTGGACTCTCAGTTTTTCTCTCTTTTTCAGTCTTCAGTTCAGTTATCCGCCTTTCAACAGCATTGAAGACGTTAAACAAGCACTGTCACTTTGCTCCTTTAGGCACCTGCTGAGGCAAGATTTGTTGCATCTGTTCTCAAATTTGTTTTAGATGTGTTCGTGTTTTAAAATGACTGCAACAGTTTATAATTTTTATTATTATTATTACTATTTTATTTTTAAATGCAGAAGCATTTGCTGCCCTGGGTATCTTTTGTAAGAAGGGTGGGATATAAATGTAACAAACAAACAAATGTTCATTTAAAAAAAATTAAAGTCCTCATGAAAATCCATCAGCATTTTATTGGGAATTTCTCCCAAGGTGCACATTTTGTATGCACTTTTGTCCAATATATATAATGGTATCTGCTGTATGTTTTCACAAATATATGCATTTTGATACACAGTTTACCCTAGTATAAGCACATTACTTGACCAAAGAACTGCATCACAAAATTTGGAGAACTGCAAATTTAGGGAAATTATTGTTTATTTATTAGATTTATATACCACCCTGTGTTTTCATTCATGTATTGTTTCAGGAAGTGCACATTAGGTATGTTCATCTTTAAATGTAAATGGAATCACATTTCCCCTCATTTTTTATTGAAACAACTGGGAACAACACAGCAACAACCTACAAGCCTTGTGCATAGTGTCCATTACAGAGGTCAGGGCTGGCCTAATATATTTTGATGCGCAACAAACAGGTGTTGGAATTGCAACAGTAGGGATTATTATCAGTGCAATTTAAGAATTACGGTAACTTTTAGTGCTAAAGATAGCTAACCAAGAAGGTGATGGAAGTGTTGCTTAGCAACCAGTCAGCATGGCATGATGTTCACGGGGGGGGAACTTGTCCTTTGATTGGCTCTGTAGTTCTGAGGGAATTTTCTCCTGTATGTTTAGTTGTATGACTCCCTGCTAGGGACAAAACCTGAACTACTAACAAAAACAAAACCACTCTGTTTGTTTCTCCTCAAGTTATGCACCCATTAGTGTTGGTGTTCATTCCCTCCGGACTCTGCAGTACTTAATTAGCTCTGCTAACATCCCCGTCCCCACAATCCTACAAGCACCTCTTACTCTCCCTGGAATTGAAATTAAATAACTAATGATTTGCTGTCATTTCATGATACTGATGTTCAGCTGCCTGAGAAACCCACCCCACTCTGCCTTGTGATTGTGCCGGCCCTGTGATGGACTAAAGGATGCAGGGACAAATTATAGAGAATAACCTTCATTTTGAGGCCCTACTTTTGAGGATTTATCCTAGGAAGAGAAAGCTGGACAAGATGGATCTTGACACGATCCAACAAGGCAATTGCGTATTTTTTTAGGGTGAGGCAAATTGTAGCTTTGAACCACCAAAGTGTTTATCTGATAATGGACTTGTAACCAGTGAGGTGACTTGTAATTTATTTGCAAAACTCAATGAATGGAGAAAGCGTTTTTTTAAAAAAATGTGTTTTGGAGACATCGCTCAAATGAGATGCCACCTCTCAAGACTTGTATCTTTATGAGGGAAATTTGAATACAAAACAAGAGTCTTTATGCCTCTTACTCACATTAATTCATGCAGAACCATGTTATAAGAGGACTAAAGAGGCAGTTTTTCACTCAGTACCGAGACAGGAGCCTACCTTGATTTACAGACTTGCTGCGAAAATGCCACTTTCATAGCCTGATAGATGCCTATTAAATGCAAATTGGGAAAGCGGTGAGATATCACCGTCATCCCATCTGCATTCTGTGGAAGGTTTGATGGTAGGAGTAGAAGGGAAGTCCAGAATATATATCTTCTGTGGCTGGAAACTCTGTGGATCAGAGCATGTGGGGCAGATGAACATGTCCGGTTTTGCTGCTACAGGTGTAGAAAAGACTACATAGTGCCAAAATATAGCCAAGAAGGACAATTTCCCTTTGTTTGGACTTCCTTCCTCAACGACCTTTTTCAGTGTTGACATCAACACAGTGTTGACATCAACAACAACTTGGAGGACATACGTGGCAAATGCCTTTCTTGGAAGATGCTGGGAAGTATTTTGCCCAAGCAATCAATTTCTAATTCTGTGGGAGGCTTGTTGCAACTGTTGAAAATTGCCTGTAGTGTGTTTCCATTTATGCAATAGGTGTCTGCAGTCAGAAATATGGTTTCTGGGGTATTTCCAGCATATGAAAACTGCCGATCCTCCTCTTGATGAACACTACTCTCTCTTTCACTCTCTCGCACACATAACTTCACACTTCCCCATTTCTTTATAGCTATTCACTAGGCTCTAAAAGTTCATAGGAACGTTATGCAGCCCTCCTTTCTTAGCTGTTCCTATGCATTCCCTACAACTGTATTCCATCTCTTCTCCGTTTTCTTCTTCAGTGACAACCTGCTCTCATGAGTAAAGTGAAAACCACAAGCATCTCCCCAAAGGGTAACTGGGAAAATATAATACACTTAAAGGAGTCCCCATAGTGTGCAGAAAACCCTTTCAAATGCAGTTTTGGACTAGAAGCTAGGAGAAGTAAGTTTGTAAAAGATGTTCTGCTCATTGCAAATTAGCCATCTTCATTTCTTTCTTCAAATTGTTTCTAAACTCCTGTTTTGTTTATAGTTACAGCTGCTAGGATAATACACAAAATTAAAGCTCCAGAATATAATTATCCTTAAGATTCCAAAAGCTGACTATCTGTAAGTAATGGATAAATACAAAGCATGGAGCTTTTCTAACTGTGCTACAGATTTGCATAAATAACATGGCTACAAATGCACTGCATCCTGGTTTAATACAGAAGGTAAAATGAAGCTAAACTTATCCTGCATTTTGCAGAAACATCCAATATTTATTTGCAAGGCTTAACCAAAGGAGCCGTTTCAATCCTTTGTCTTTCCTCTCTGTCGCAAATTAACAGTTAGGTCTGCCAACATCTCAACAATTTGTCGAGAAGGGAAAAAAAACCCCTCTCAAGATAAAAAAAAGAAAGTGGAAGATAGGATTATTAGCTCTCATCTCAACAAGTTTGAAATACGGCACTATATTGCACAGCATTTCTAATAGATCATGTGGTCAGTGGAGGCTTGGACAGTAGGTTTACGGGGGCAATAACCTATCAAATGAAAATTCAAGGCATTAAAAAAAAATTCCTCAAAATCTCAAAGCAACACACTTTCCTTGTTTTATTATTTTTTCATAAAATCTTAGCACTGTAGAGTTAGAATGGACCCCCAAGACCAATCCCCTGCAAAGAGTGTGATACACATACTCTCATACCCCAATTAAAAATCAAGGACAGGCAGGCTGGATGTTTATATCCATTCCATTTTTCCTCCAAAGAGGAATATCAAGGTGGCATTCATGGGTCTCCCTTCCCTTGCATTATTCTCACAACAACCCTGTGAGGAGGCTGAGACAGTGACAGGTCCAAAACAACACAGTGAGCTTTGTGACTGACTGGTGATTGTATCCTTCCACCAGGGATGGCGTGTCCCATTTCGCCACCTGAGGCAAAACAGGGAATGTGCTCCAGCGCTGTCCCACCACTGCCCTGCCCCACTGAAACCTCCCTTACCTGGCAACGGCAGCCTCCAGCAAGATTTCACTGAAATCACATAAGATGCTGAGTTACACCACCATATACCTTTATATTAGTATAAATTACTACAAATAAGTGAATAAATAAATATTATTGTTGTCAGTGTATAGAAAGGAGTAACAATGCTGAGCATTTCTGATTCACCAGGTCATTATCAGAAAAATGCCCATTGGGTTATTTTGTTAGAACCATCTACATGCATTTGGCATCTGTTAAGATCAGAGTTCAAAAACTGTTTCTTTGGATGTGGTTTTTTTTTTTGGGGGGGGGTCAAATAAATGGGCATGAAATTGGTTTAATAGCTCCAGGTGGAAATAACTTTCTAATATATAACTCTATCTCATTCTTGCAGGCCCCATTGTGTGATTTACCATGGAAAAACTGCTCTGTGGCATCCTGGTGTTTGGAGTGGCTGTTGTGGTCAACGCTTGTCCGAAATATTGTGTCTGCCAGAACCTGTCTGAGTCACTGGGGACTCTTTGCCCTTCCAAGGGCCTCCTTTTTGTACCACCAGACATAGACAGGAGGACTGTTGAACTCCGTCTTGGGGGCAACTTCATTATCAACATCAGTAGACAGGACTTTGCCAACATGACGGGCCTTGTTGACCTTACATTATCTAGGAATACCATCAGTTACATACAGCCCTATTCTTTTGCTGACCTAGAGAGCCTACGGTCCTTGCATTTGGATAGTAACAGGCTGCCTGACATTGGGGAGGATATTTTGAGAGGCCTGATTAATCTTCAGCACTTGATTATAAACAACAACCAGCTGAGCTTCATTTCAGATGAAGCCTTTGAAGACTTCTTGTTCACCTTGGAAGATCTGGATCTTTCTTACAATAACCTCAGAAGCATCCCTTGGGAATCCATAAGGAAGATGGTAAACTTGCACCAGATTAGTTTAGACCATAATTTGATAGATTATATTACAGAGGGTACCTTTGCAGATCTTCAGAAACTGGCTAGGTTGGATCTAACCTCCAACAGACTTCAGAAGCTGCCTCCTGATCCCATATTTGCCAGATCCCAAACAGCTCCATTAACCTCAACTCCGTTCTCCACACCTTTATCTCTGAGCTTTGGTGGAAACCCTTTGCATTGCAACTGTGAACTGATGTGGCTGCGGCGTCTTGACAGAGATGATGATATGGAAACTTGTGCTTCTCCCCCGGGACTAAAAGGGAGGTACTTTTGGTATGTCCGGGAAGAGGAGTTCATTTGTGAGCCTCCTTTGATCACACAGCACACTCACAAATTGTTGGTTTTAGAAGGACAAACAGCCACCTTGAAGTGCAAAGCAATTGGAGATCCATCTCCAGTTATTCACTGGGTGGCACCAGATGATCGACTTATTGGGAATTCTTCAAGGACAGCTGTTTATGACAATGGCACCTTGGAAATCCTGATCACAACATCGAAGGATTATGGGACATTCACGTGCATAGCGGCAAATGCTGCTGGAGAGTCTACTGCAACAATTGAGCTGTCAATTGTCCAGCTTCCCCATCTCAGCAATGGAACAGGCCGGGCTGCCCCACCAAAATCAAGGCTTTCTGACATCACCAGCTCCAGCAAGTCAAATCGAGGGGAAACCAAGGGGCCACCTGAAAGGGCTGTGTTGGTCTCTGAGGTTACAACTACCTCAGCTTTGGTCAAATGGACAGTAAGCAAGTCAGCTCCAAGAGTTAAAATGTACCAGCTACAGTATAACTGCTCTGATGATGAGGTTCTAATTTACAGGTAAGTGTGACTGGCTGTCAGCTTTTCTTAGAAGAGAAATGATGGGGTGGCAGGTGATTTGGTTGAATAAGTTGTAATATGTGCCTCCATCTGATAGACTTGTCACAGAAGACAAGAACTGATGGATAGTGATTCTCCTTTCCGCAATCCAAGTTGTGGCACATATTAGGAAGGGATCGAAAGGGAACATAGCTCAGAAATCAACTTGCAGTGGCTATGCTCCTCACTGTGATTAAAGTGGCATTCTTAAAATTCCTAGTTCCATCAGCCAATGTTGATCTATAGTTTATTAGACCATAGCAAATGAAACAGCTTAGCCTCCTCCATTTAATGAGAAGTTCTGTCCTCTCCTCTTCCCTTAAACATTCTGCCTTCTCCTTTGTGAGATGCCAAACCTGCCTCATGTCGCCCCTCGGCTTCCTATTGCCCAGTAATCTTATCAAATATGCATGCGACCGTGAATACAAATGGTGAGCTGTGACCTTGTTTGAGAAAGTATCCACAGCTTGTTACTCCAGCAATATTCCAAGAGTAATATTGTGCTCATTACAAATGAACATTTATCATGGACATTTTCAGATACAGCAGGAAAAAAATGTCTGCTGGGACTGAAAACTAAGTGCAGATTAGGCTGGCCCTAAGAGCCTTTGACAGAAGATGGGCAGCTTGTTCTTTCTCATGGTCACAGAGAAGCCATCCTTTGTGTTCTCTGTTATGCACATTTCATAACTTCTCAATTCTTTTGAAATATTGAATGGGGAAGAGGATGAAGAGCCAACCCTTCCACCCTCAGTGAAGACTATTGATTTTTTTTTTTTTTAAGGTACAAATTGCATATCAGAGTGAGCTTCTTGTTTAGACAGTAGGATGCTGCTGCCTTCACAGGGTCATGCTTCGGCCATATGAAGGAGATCTCAGGGTTGCAGTGACCACCTGCAAATTAGTAGGCCTGGGAAATAATGAGAAATATTTCCCATCAATCCTGCAAGGGCACAAAGCATGAAAGTCTATCAGACTGAGAATCTCAAGTGCTGGGAATGTTTGTGCTGGTGTTATTAAGATTAATGGCAATGCCGACCAGCTATTCTAGGTATGTTCCTATGGAATTTCTACATTATACTCTTGCCCTCTGCATCTGCCTGTTATGTACAGTTAAGAGGGGAATAACAGACCCACAGTATAACACTGAGAACCCTTTAACCAGGTCTTTGGTTTGAGTAGACATATTTCCTCCTCTTACATTGCTTTCCTTTATTGTTCATTGCAGTTCTGCTCTGCTGTTTTGATCTTTTGCTGTAGGCTGGGTTTTTTTGTTTTGTTTTTATTTGATAATTTTAATTGAAATTTGTAATTATTAGATTTTTGTAACCCACCCTGGGACCATTTTGGGAAGGGTGGGCTACAAATACAAACAATAAATAAATAAATAAATATCCAGGTCTGTGCTGAAGACTTCCTTGAAGGGGTCATGTGATGTTACTATTGTGCTAAGCATGACGTGGACCCGCAACTTTAGCTCCACCAGGAATACAGTCTGAGCTGATGACTTCCATAGATCTTGAGAAAGAAGAGGAGGAGAAGTAGAGGAGAAAGAGAGGAAGGAAGAAGTGGAAGACCAAGAGTTACCAGGCTCTGATCCTGGGGAGGCTAGAGCAGATAAGGGGAGTGCTAAGTGCAATGAAAAATGTGGTACTTCCCTGGAGGGTGGAGAGAATAATTTTGCACAGCAAAAGCATGACCCCTCCTTCTCTCTTAGAAATGAGAGTGCAAAGAAGGATGTGATCCACAGTCTGTCTGCACAGCACAGTCCTCCCAAGAGAGGGGGGAACTAGAGGGAACTAGAGGGAAGAATTCCCAGCACAGGAGTCATAATGGCCAGATAGACTTGTAAAGAAACAATAGCTTCCTGTACTCTTTGTTAGGCACTGCCATGCTCTGCCTCAAATATAGGAAGTGTTGAGGACCATCATGGAGGAGCTAATGTACACTAATGATGGCTGAAGTACAGGGATCAGATCCACTGAAACAATACACCAAATTATCTTTCCAGTGGACCCTGAGACACAACTTCCTACCAAGAATGCAGTTACCGAGTCCAGTGGTTCCCAAATTTCTCCCCCTGGGCATTACTGACAATCTCTGAAGGTTTTTGTGAACCACTTAATGTTGTTTCCCCCCTGCTTGTTTTAGCAATTGTTATGCACAGTGCTAGGTGGGACGCAGGTGGCGCTGTGGGTTAAAGCCTCAGTGCCTAGGACTTGCTGATCGAAAGGTCGGCGGTTCGAATCCCTGCGGCGGGGTGCGCTCCCGCTGCTCGGTCCCAGCGCCTGCCAACCTAGCAGTTCGAAAGCACCCCCGGGTGCAAGTAGATAAATAGGGACCGCTTACTAGCGGGAAGGTAAACGGCGTTCCGTGTGCTGCGCTGGCTCGCCAGATGCAGCTTGTCACGCTGGCCACGTGACCCGGAAGTGTCTCTGGACAGCGCTGGCTCCCGGCCTATAGAGTGAGATGAGCGCACAACCCTAGAGTCTGGCAAGACTGGCCCGTACGGGCAGGGGTACCTTTACCTTTTACCTTTTTTATGCACAGTGCTAGATGCTGTGCGGTTTTTATTGTATTTTTGTTGCTTCTTTAATTTCTTACTTTGCATTACATGTAGCATTTTACAGAATTCAGATTATAATAACAATGAACTACAGTATAGAAAGAGCAATAAAAATACAATTTAAAATCAGTATGAATGAATGAAGTTTGAGATCGCCTGCCCTAGTCAAACACAGTCCGGCTTCTGTAATGGGAACCTTGCAATTGCAATTCCTGGCTAGAATGTCCCCATGTGGGCTGGGATATATTGAATAGCATATGCAAATTGCAATCCTACTGAAGGTGAAGGACGTTGACAAATTTGGCCCATGACTTCATGATCCTGCTGGCTGGAACTATGTTAGAATGAACAAAATTCTTCTTTTGCTCCTGAAATGTGGATCTGAGAAACGCTTTGCAACTGTTGGATTTATGACAGACTTAGCCTCATTTTATTTTGCTGTATTTCTTATTAAGGGTGATAAAAGCAAGTCTGCAAATTAAGAATTACTGCAGCATCTCAGTCTGCATAATGGTTATATTCACACTATGAAAATGTATATTGGGTATTTCCTGAGATTTATATTTTTCATATATATTTTACAGCCTGGGGAGGATAATCTGTAAAATATAAAAAATGTTCCATGTCTCAAGCATATTTAAGCAATTGTGGGCTGACTGGATTACTTAAGATTAGATTTTATTATATATAAATAGCCTGCAACACTAAATATTTTTACTAGGAAGTCCCACTGAACTCTGTGGAATATATTTCCAAATAAAATTGGATAGGATTGGACTGTTATTTAGATTTTATTTTTATCCTAATGGGGAGATTGAGGATTTAAGATACTGCAAATTTGCAATATATTTGTATCTGTATTGGTGCATATAAAGCTGTCTCACACTGAATAAGACCACAGGCCCATCTATCTCAGTGCCACCTACACAAACTACCACAGCTCTCCAAGGTTTCAGACATAATTCTATCCCAGCTCTCCCTAGATATGCCAGAGATTGAATATTGGACTTTCTGAATGCAAAACACACGCTCAGTTATGTGTACTATGTTGATGCCTCTGGCACCAATTGGATGAACTAGTGTGATGGGACAGGCTTTTCATGAACTTTCCAAATGCTAAGAGGTTCACTTGGAATGTTTTTGAAGATTCCCAGTACTTAGGGCAGAATATTTGCCTTCTGTGTGACATGGGGTCAGTTTGACTGGGATGGAAATTTGATGCAGGTCCTTGGTACAGCAGTGCTGAGCTGGTTGAAGACAGGTAAACAGGTAGATGCTTGTGTTAAGGATAAGGAACTAGGCAGTGCTTTTTTCTGGGGGGATGCAGGGGTATGCATACCGCTAAACATTTTGTGAATCTAACAGGAGAAGAAACAAAAAATTGTAAAAAAATTAGTTTCTTCTCTAGCACGGTGATTGTTAAGTTTCGTTGTTACCCCCTCTGATGGCGGCCTCATTTCCTTTCCTGGTGTAATGCATGTTCTTTGTACTTTTGGCCATTTACTGTATTTATTTTTCCTGATCTGAACTAGAAAATGGTGACTTTATTGAGTCAAAGTGAGCGTACCCCTAAACATTAGGTTTTTTAGGGGGGAAAGGCACTGGAACTAGGGATACACAAGGAATTCAGCAGCTGCAAAGTCTGATATAATCTAACATGATCCACAACTCCCGAACTAATATGTGGATTAGAATTTAATTATCCACCAGCTTTGACCCTTCTCAACTGTCCCTGAATGCATAAAATATATTTCTCAGCATAGCTAAAATGGGGTAGGGTGTGCAGCTTAAAATGAGCATTTTTAAAAATAAAAAAACACCATGCATATTTTGAGATAAAATACATTAAAAATACAAAAAAAAGCAGGTTGGTTTATAAAAAAAATCACAGAATAATTCAGAAATGAGATGGAATAAATGTATGAGTGAATGCATGTGCAGGTGGCACAGACTAGAAATAGGCTGATTTGTCCATCCCTAAATAGATTGCTCTTAAGTGGTAGACTTAGCAACTGGGAAGATGAAAAGCGGAGAAATGTAAGGAAAACAGTAGAGAAAACAAGGAAATGTTGCAAGAGGGGGCTATCGAGAATGAATAAACCTTAAAGCATTTGAGGCTCTAAGAGAATCTACAGCTAAACTTGGGGGTGATAGGAATTGTGGTCCGGCAACATTGGTGGGCCAATGATTTCCCACGCCAACATAGGGCCTATAGGTGTACTCTTTACCAACCCGTGCCTTCCAGATGCTTTGGACTACAACTCCCATCAGCCCCAGCCAGCACTGCTGTGGCTGAAAGAGTTGTACACAAATGGCAGGAAAGAAGCAGTCAATTAGAAGTGAGGCATTTGGACTGGCAACCTTAACAGGGCGACAAGAACCAAAAAGCGAGAAG